GTATGCAGTTTACTAACCGCACGTCACTTGAACGTTATGCAGATGCCCTTCAACAAGTGATTGCGAGACACGATATCCTTCGCACAGTCTTCATTTGGGAAGGTCTTAATGAGCCGGCACAGGTTGTTCTGCGCCAGGTTCCTTCATTACTAACTGACGTTATATTGGATAATACCGACGAATCTGTCTTGGAGCAGTTAAGTTCCCGATTTGATCCACGTCATTATCGTTTAGACTTGACACAGGCACCACTATTGCGTCTACAGGCTGCGCCAACGTCTGAAGGGAGCTGGGTGGTGTTGCAATTTATGCATCATTTGATTATTGATCATTCAACACTGGATCGTCTACAAGCAGAAATTCACGCCATCATTGATGGAAAGATTGAACAGTTAACAATGCCCACATCATTCCGTCATCTATTGGCTCAACTACGACTTGGAGTTAAACCAGCTGAGCATACTCAATTCTTCAGTGAAATGCTTGGCGATATAGATGGGCCAACCTTGCCATTTGGTCTGAGTGAAGTTGGCCGAGATAACGCTGAGTTTATTGAAAAACACATGATGCTACCGCAGAAAATCAACGATCACCTCAGGGTACATGCGCGCAAGTTATGCGTCAGTATGGCTAGCATTTGCCATCTGTCCTTTGCACAGGTGCTTGCTAAAGCTAGCGGACGTGAAGAGGTAGTCTTCGGCACAGTTGTGCTGGGTCGTTTACAGGCAGGAGAAAAGAACCATAACATCATGGGACCGATGATTAACACTTTACCAATTCGGATAGATATTGACGAGAGCAGTATAGAAACCGCAGTACGCCATACACATGCTCGGTTAAGTGCATTATTGGCACATGAACACGCACCACTTGTATTGGCACAAGGCTGTAGTGCAGTTCCAGCTGGTGTGCCGTTATTCAGTGCATTGCTGAACTATCGCCATAATAAGAAGACAGATCTGGTCTTTGCATCACTTCCTGGAGTTACTTTTTTGGGAGGTGAGGAGCGAACTGAATACCCACTAAACCTGTCGGTTGAAGATGATGGTGATTCACTGGGTCTGACGACTCAAGTAATCTCACCAATGTCAGCAGCACGGACTTGCGCCTATATGCAGCAATCTCTGGAGTCGATGGCTGATGCGTTAACGCAAATGTCTCATCAACCAGTTCGAAAACTGTCAGTGATACCACTAGAAGAACGCACGTTGCTGCTGCACACCTGGAATCAATCTACGGTTACCTATTCACCAGCCCGTTGTATTCATCAATTATTTGAGGCGCAAGTGGAACGTGACGAACAGGCGTATGCTTTGGAGTGTAACGGAAAAGCAATAAGCTATGTGGAACTCAACGCACAGGCCAACAGATTGGCACATTACTTGATCGCACGCAGTGTCAAACCAGATGATCTTATCGCACTTTGCGTTGAGCGTAGCACTACAACGCTCATTGCCATGTTGGGTATCCTTAAAGCAGGATGCGCTTATGTACCACTTGATTTGGCCTACTCAAGTCAACGGCTAACTAATATTCTACAGGATGCTAATCCTCTATTTCTTTTGACAGATGGTAATGGACGGAAATCGCTCGGAGATCATCAAGTACCAGTGATAGACTTGGACAAACAATTGCCTGCCGACTTACCAATCGATAATCCAGACACTGCCAAACTTGGGCTCACTCCATCACATCTAACATATGTTATCTACACCTCTGGCTCAACAGGAATACCGAAGGGAGTAATGATTGAACACCAACAAGTTGTACGACACTTTGAAACTGCACAAGAGAAATTTGATTTCAATAAAGACGATAAGTTTTGCCTGTGCCATTCGATTTCTTTCGACACATCTGTATGGGAAATATGGGGTGCCTTATTAAATGGCAGCCAACTGTTGATTGTACCACATAATGTGGCAAGTTTTACGGACGAATTTTATGATTGGATTTGTGCCAGCGGTATTACTGTATTAACGCAAACCCCATCAATGTTTAAATTGCTTATACGGGCGAAAAATATCAGCTTGCGAACCGATCTACTGCGATATGTATTCTGTGGGGGTGAAGCATTAGATGTATCGATAGTAAGACAGTGGTATAGAAAATACGATAACGGTCGAACAGTGCTAACCAATTTGTATGGCCCTACTGAGATAACTATTTTTGCAACAACTTGGATCTGTGATAACACAATGCCTGGAAACTTTCTGATAGCACCAATCGGTCGGCCACTGAATAATAGGCGAATTTATTTGCTGGATGTATATGGCGAGCCAGTGCCACTAGGAGCTACGGGAGAATTGTATATTGGTGGTACTGGTGTGGCACGTGGCTACTTAAACCGCCCTGAACTTACTGCGGAACGATTTCTACCCGACCCATTCAGTGCCAATCCAGTAGCACGTATGTACCGTACCGGTGATCAAGCACGTTATTTGTCTGATGGTAATTTGGTCTATCTGGGACGGACAGATCAACAAGTAAAAATTCGTGGTTTTCGGATTGAGCCTGGTGAAATTGAATCCCACCTAGTC